GGTGAGGGAAAAACCAACCCCCCCCCCCCGCCCCTCATAGTTCTCCTTTAAAGTAGATGTAACCCTTTACTTTTCACTCTGAATCATTAACAATTCCCATTTTTAAAAGAAATACTTGTTTATCATCTCCCTTTCATCCCGTGTCGCATGTCAGTGCTGCCGATCTTCTGCAGCCTCTGTGCCGTCACTTCCTATCTACATGCACTCCAGGCCATGGCGTTTCTTAGGGCTTCCTGATGGCGACAGCAGCTATGACTGTGTACCGTGCGGCCAATCTGCATTAAGAGCCCATGTGACAACTCAGAAGCACAATTGGGAGACAAGAACAGAGCGTTGTCACCCTAGAACAGGAAGTGCCTAACAAGGGCAGGATTCAGCAGTGATTATTTTATTGAAAGCTGCACATGCAAAAATATTGAATATGACTTTTTAAATATCATGACTGTGAACATGCTTCCTCATGCCTGCAGCAGACTGATGACATAATCTAAGCCTAGGTAAAATCACTGACTGGAGCTTAAGGACGGCTCTTTAATGATTATAGGCGGAGATTTTCAGCAAACTTATTCTGTTGCCGTGTTGTGATTGGTCTAGAATCTACTGATGCAGACTTGAAAGGACACTCAAAGGTCAAATTCAACCATCTTCAAATTCTTACACCTGTGCAGAGGTGACTGGTTCTCTTTAAAACGATTAAAGGGAACCCTACTTTTCTAAACAGTTCTAACAGTGCAAATGCAAAAAATCCAGCCAGTGACTTCTTCCTGAACTCTGTGGTCGGCCTGCCACGGAATCCAATACAACACACAGGATTTCAATGTCAAATCTTCACAGCGGTGCAGCACTGGGAGCTCCGAGTGTCTATTATAACCCGATCCAAGGAAACAATGTATCACTTACAGATTCCTTTCTATCCATGGGAGGAATTCTCTATGGTTATTTTATGACATGAAGCGAGTCTTCATAACCCGTCACATGGTGTTAGCACCGATCCATTCCCATCATCTATTCCTGAATCCCCTGACAGCCCGCCGCGCTCACGGTTCCGCTGGGTGAGCAGCGCGCACGAGGAGGATATACAGACAATAATTGATCCGAGGTTAATTCACTTCTGGTCGGGTCAGGTCCATCAATGAAAACCAATCTCCAGCCGTCTCCCTTCACTGGAAATCGCCGCTGCCGGAAAGTGACGCACGGTCAGCCAGTGCGGTACACAGCTCGGGATATAAAGGGAACCTTAAAGGCCATCCCCGGACAAAAAAAAAGGACCCTTGGGAGTGGGGTTGCCCCCCCGCCCCCTCCCCCCAGGCACTGCAAGGGTTAAGTGCTCTTTTTTTCCCCTAGGGCCTGGAGTAAAGCAGATTTACTTACCTGATCCCCGCTTCCCCGGCGGTCACATCTTCTTCTCCTCCTCCAAATGGTCCCTCAGCATGTTCACAGACAGGGGTGTCCCTAGTAATTTTGCTGCCTGGAGCCGGGGGCGCTGGTGGTGCACGCAATCAGAGAGGCGGGTAGAGGAACAGTGGTCTTAGCAACCTGGGAGGCTCTGGCCGGCATCCTGCCCAGCTCCTGGCAACCAGTGACATCACTGGTTGCTAGGAGCTGGGTGGGACGCCGGCCAGAGCATCCCAGTTTGCTAAAGGCTGGGCAGGAAGATGTGTGTGGCCCTTACACATTTCCCCACCCGGCTCTTAACAACCTGGGACACTCTGGCCGGAAAGGGGGCAGCAGGCACACTACAAACATTGTGCAGCGGAGCAGCCATGCTACTCTGCCTGCCCCCCCCCATGTGACCCAAAGAGACGCCGCCTGAGGCCACAGCCTAGGCCGTCTCATTAAAGGGACGGCCCTGAATGTAAGTCTATAGAACCTACATTAGATGCGATGACATCATCGGCCCTGGTCAGATACGGCGGTGTGACCCGTGTGCGCGGTATATATATATATATAACATGTCCCGTATATGTATTATCCAGTAGCCGCGTCCCTTCAATTGTTTCTTAAACAAACCGGAGTGAACGGCGGCCAAGTCTTCGCCGCGGGCAATAAATTCTGGATGGACCTTCGGCGGCAGGTTGCCAAGCAGCCTGAACTCCGGGAAAAGCCGGGCCAGCAATCCAGCGGACACGGCGCTCCTCTGGAAGATCCGCAGCATATTGAGGACACGATGGCACAGATTTCACAGCAGATGCCGGCGGCCAGCGCGGCGAAACCCCTTCTACTGCTGGAAAGGGGGAAGCTGAGCTGGGAGTGGGGAGCTGAGCAACTAAGTCTCTGATAGGAGGGGAGCTGAGCTGCTAAGTCACAGTTGGGAGAGGGGAGCTGAGCTGCTGAGAGGGGGAGCTGAGCAGCTTGGAGGAGAGGGGGGAGCTGAGCTGTTGAGTGGCTGCTTGGAGGGTGAAGCTGACCTCAGGGAGGGGGGGTTGCTGAGCTGCCGGGTCGCTGCTGGGAGGGGGAATCTAAGCTCCGGGAGCAGGGAGACAGCAATCTCTCTTACAATTCTACATACGTGCGACATATCTGATCCGTGTTCCTGTTTTTGGGGGTTTTCTGAGGATACGGGAGGAAGGAGCCGGACTGACAGGCTGTGATGATGGAACAGAGGCGAGAGATGAGCGAGCAGCGCACGACGACAACAGATATCATCTACAGAATGATGGAGGGAGAGAAGGACGGCCAGGCACTGCAATGCGGAGGCAGCCAGTGGGATGAAGACAATATGCTCTCCCCCCCCCGGCACAGCA